AAAGCCGAATGGACAGCTGGTCAAGAGGAATGCGTTGCTGGTCGTCTTCCGGTGGAACCGAGCTTCGAATCCCTTCACGCAACACTTTCACTCGAAATGGAAGTAAGCTCAACAATTATGAAACAACAGAGCCCTCGAAAGCCAACTTCTCTTGCATAATTATCTTTTGGCAACGGCTTTGGAGACGGGCATTTGTTAGCAGACCAACTGTCTCCCATAAGCAAGTGTTTTTTTCCATTTCCTGCCATCCGTAAAACCACGACATAAGGACACAAATATTTGACCTCGTTTTCGCAACTTGGTCGTTTTGTCGGGGCGACCAACTTGAATGCACTTTGTCCGCAGTCATGTTAATAAGTTGGACATTGTCTTGCCAAGCAATGGCACAAACTATACCGCTTCAGAGACAAGTGAAGTCCAGTGAGCAAGTTCCACACACTCACTTGATCTTCACACGAAAATGCTCTGGCAAAGAAAAACGTTAATACGTCGAGCTTACACACTGCACTGTCACGGTTCGACTCCCGCCTTCGGTGTTGACTAGAGCGACGCGAGGTCGAGACTGCAGTCCTCTCCAGCCGGGATGAGAACCACTTTTAGGAAAGTCACGTCTACTCATAGCATTGTGGGAAGATTGTACTACCAGTCCTTCATCACCATAACCGAAATTGGGTGAAAACAGCTCAAATATCAGATTGACTCATAGTCCAATAAAACTACTCACTAACGATATGAGTAGACGTGGTCCATGAAGCAAATGATTGACCGTGATAATTACTCGGGCTCTTTAGCCGCAAGCTACTCCCCTGTCCAGCTTGACAATCCTGATTGTTAGGGCCTACTCCGCGAGGCTGGATTGGGCTTGAAGCAGAGTGTGGCAAGTAGCGCTTCGAGTGGTACAGAAAGTGTGGCAGGGGCGAGTGAACTGCCTGAGCCAGAAAGGTAGGAGGCGGATCCCACGGGCCTATGAGCAGAGGATTGTGGGCTAAGGGGGTGAGTTGTGGTGAGATGCGCTGAAAAAGGGCACATCGTGCCACATTTAAATAAGAAATTAGGGAATTGTGATTGTGAAGGGGTGGCACGAGGATACAGGATACAGGATACAGGCGAATGCACCAAGACAGAAGAGGAGATACCACAATTGGTCGGCGGATCGACTTCCCTTGTCTCTTTGACGTGTTGTTCTGTCACTGGCGCTTCCTGCCTGACGTCTGGGAATGTACCACGCCCATTAACCGACTCTGCAAGTTTGCATGTCCACTGAGAACTCCGGACAAGGTGCGCTCCCCTGAGGCTTCGGGCCAAAGTGAACAAGTTGCAAGAACACGGTCAAACAACTTCTAAACAAGAATTTACCATTTCTGTACGCCTCCCTTCAAAGCTGACCAGCGCAGTCTGATTGGAGTTAACGTCAGAAGGACACAACCCAAAACGGTAAGACCATTTTTTCGCACCGCACACTCTTAACCACCTCACGAGAATTCGCATCTGTCCCTTCAGTCACCCCTCGCGGTGTCACGTGATCTCGTGACAGGGCCCAATCACGCAGTCAACTTTTCACTAATACTCAAACAAACAAACACACACACACACACAAACAGACATCTCAGCTTTATAGACAGGCTTGACTCATGCACTCTGGCGGTCGACCAATCACAACCTCGCCAATCTGGCCTGAGCCTGCCATTGGATCCAACCGACTTCGTCTCCGCCTACAAGGTGTAGTCAAATATTCTACACCAATCAGAAGCAGAGCTTCACACCTCTCAGCCTATTCAGTAAAAAGACCTGGCTTGATCGATTTCTCCGCGAGTAATTCCTCGTCGTGTTGACGATGCCCGCAGGTGGGCTTCTGCTGGCACGTCGTGGCCCCACGTGGGTTAGATCGCTTCTCTCGTTTAGCCAAATTAAGCCCTGCCGAGCCAAATTGTCTGTCCGGCTCTTCTTCAAGATGCTTCTGCTTGGTGTACCGCATCTGCGTCAGGGCAGAGTTGGCGGCACTTTAGCTTGAGGAGGACCAGCCTCATTTCAGCCTCCGAGGTAAACCCACCAACCGGCCAACTTCGAGTAAACGCCACGCAACCGATTATCGCGCCTCGTCAGCACGACAGCAGTAGGCGGCAGACGATCAAGATCGCCCGGCTCCGGATATCTTCTCCGGCATTCTTCTACAACGCTTCTTTGCATACACTTAATGCCACACATTATTTTTATTTTTAATTATTTTTATTATTATTACATACCATTTTATAGTCTACACAATCTCTACACATTGTCTCATCGCGGAATCAATCGTCATAGGTCGCAGGATGGTGCACTGATGAGGCATGTTTGCACAAAGCAAGTCGAAACTGCAAATTACTCCCCACTGGTCTCCGATGGGGATTATTTGCGAACCTTCTCCATCCATCTTTCCTCATGGAATGATAGGTTCATTTATGTGTATTTATGCCTTTTTTACCTTTTCAGTGTCTTTCACAAGGACATAACCCTCTTTCCATACATTGCCGGTACTAGGCGAACTTGAGTATCGTGAGAAGTTGGCTAGACCAATCCACAGATCTGGAGACATCCTAAATCTCCACGCATCAGAGCAAGCCCTGAGTGCTCTCTTAAAAGGAAATTTGAAGACGACGTTGTTCGAACGCGGTGAAAAAAATTTGCCCGTACGTAGCAATAAAAATCCATCAGAAATACTTCTCAAATATATAGGCTTGACACCACACTCGTAACATTATAAACGATGATTCCATTTGTTAAGCAAATTAATATATATGTGACAATAAAGACATCACTAATTCTCACATAATATAGAAAAGTAATATTATTAAATACAGTAAATTTGTGTAATAAAAATATGATACATTTCTAGCGACTAAGGCATATTTCCCAAAAATCACAATGTCCGGTTAACCTTGTAACTTGTAGCCTTATCAGCACCAGATTGTACAATGAAAAAAATTTTACCCTCAAAATGCAGATTATGACTTGATTACAAGGTACAAATTTCACCATAATCTAAACAGCCTCAAAATCAAAATTAAGCGATGTGGATCTTAAAAATCCACAATATATTTGCAAAAGCAACAAAGTAAAAATATTCCTTCATATAGAGCTAACAAAATAATCACATCGAATGCATGGCAATAAAGCTTAAACGAATATTTAAACAAACATGTATGAAAAAGTATTGCAATCAATTAACAAAACACCATTACAGTACATTCGCAAAGGTTAACCCTCTCAGCATATCCCTCTCTGATCAAGAAAATTAAAATAGAGAACATACATAGGCGAGATAGTGCAAAAATGAAACTATCAAAGGATTGCACCAAACTAGTGAAAATGCTTCCTTTAAAATAGAGGCCCATTTTATAAACCCAAAATAATAAAGCACTTAATGACATTAAGCACATCAATACACCTTCAAAGGTCACCCGCTTAAAAGCAGAACGCATGCCACCAAATAAATAATACCGACTTTTGCTATTTTAACTGCGAAATATAGTTACATGACCTCCAGATTGGACAAAATAAGCAAGTTACTCGGTGAAACATACAAAATTATAGAGGGAAAATTATATCGAATAAAAATGTACAAAGTACCAACATGGCCCAGCTCACACGCTAAAACACGATAAGTAAAATAATCTTAATGCCCGTCCGGGATACCAATCCTGTCAAACTTCGTATTACTCTCATCACAGAAACCTTATTTGGACCAACATTTGGTTGGGAAATTCGACTTTGAGCGACTCTAGCCATAAGACTCTCTCCTTCTCATGTCCGAACGTATGCTCGTCATACCCCCAAGCTTCTGCCGCTCCTCCATTCACCATGGCGCTTCACATGCAGGACATTCTCCAGAGAAAACTCAAGACGGGATCTCAGTTATCCACTCAAAGCCGTGCGCTATTTGTTTCGTCGGGTCAGAAATCAGACTCCCGCTTGCTATGAAATATCCAGGGTTCAGCGGGAGCCAAGTCCAAGTCAACCGGACCCAAAGTTCGTATCAAACCCCATTTCCAGATGTTAAGGGGAGCTGGGTTTCTAATTGTTCCTCGATAAATTTTAGTCGAAAAGGAATATAAGTCGATGAATAGAGAAGATCAGACTACGACATTCGCAAAGAAATGATGAAAGGAGAGGAGGTGTGTGAGGAGATGTGAACAAGCCCACAAATGTGGGTTTATAGCTTAATTTTTTCATACTCATACTCGTGGGGTTATAGTCAATGCTAAACAGAATCCCCGGAACAATGGGTTAGAAAGTCTACTAAATTTTTTGGTTGCGAAAAACTTGTCCATTATGATTAATTGCCAATAATTCCACAATATTAAGAAATACGGTTAGAAGAGACAATTATTTAGGACTGAAGAGGGAATTAGACAACTGTGAATCCATGTTCCTGATGCCACCGCGTTGCTAGCTTTCGCGAAGAATAGGAAATTGAGCATAAGGATGATGTAGAAAAAAGGATTAACACTTTTTATGGTTGTGCCTTTTTTTAAAGAATATCTTCAGACACCCTCAGTAGATCAGACTGCCATACGCTTTCAGGCACACACGATAGTCTTTATGTAGAAGAGGTTGTCAGAACAAAAAGTTGGCCGCAAAGTTTATGGGTTCGGAAATTTGGAATTCGCTGAGCACATGCTGGCAACAGGACACCGAATGGCGTGGTCTGGGACCGAACGTTTTTCCGAATGTGGAGACTTCATTGCTAAACAAACGAAAAATTGGGGTGTCGGTTGAGAGTAGCTCAACTAACAACCTGATTAAGGAAAATTAATTGGGGTAAATTTAGCAAAAAATACACGAACTCTATTGCATAGAATTTGGGAGAAAGAGAGAGAGAACAGGAAGAGACATCGAGGAAAATAAGGTTTTTATAACCTGAAGTCCAGGTTTACTCGAGTACGTAAATTGACTATGGAGTATTGCACACACACACACACTTTTGATGCGTATTTCTGTTGGGAGTGGTCATCTATTCAATGTTCAACTTAAAGCATCTTCATGCATGTGGAGTAGGCATGAGATAACCAACCACCTTATGGGATGTCTTATTGATATCGCAAAATAAGGTACAAGAAGTAAGCAGAATTTCGGCATGCGACATTTTCTGGTTTATCCTTTTCGTTCAATTTTTCGTTAATAATGCTTTCTAGTTCTGATATTGCTTTTCACATAAAGACAAAATAAAACTCAGCACGGATGCATCAAAATCGTAGAACGATGATCCGAGGTTTGTAGTGAGGCCTTTTTACATAAAATGGAAGGTACTCACAGAAAGCAGAAAATGTTTTTCGGGATACATTCTTCGACGTTTCCCTTAAATTGTTTCCGCAACATAGCCAAATTGCCCAAATTTTAGCCCGTAAATGGAGCTTTCATCGACTGAATCGGTTGATTTGGGCTGAGCAACTATACGGATTTTAGCTGTAGTTTGGTTAAAATAAATTGGTCGTACTGACCCCCAAACAATGGTGTATGCCAATTTCCCAATTATTCAAGGACCATAAACAGAGGTCGAAGACCTTTAGTCGTTGTAGCAAGATAGTTTGACTTTGTTTTCGCAACTTAGTTATGCGATTGTTGCTCGGTAGGACTACAACTAAAATCCGCGGAGTTGTTTAGTCACAAGTGCACGAACCAGACAACGAAATCCGCATTCATGGACCAGAGGTTGGGTTATTCGACAATCGGAAGAACCAACTCGAATTGACCAGGTTAAGGATCACTGAAATGGAAAAGACTTTAAACTGTTCACCTGCCCAGTTAGAGACGAAGTCAATGAATGGGTCGTCAGTATGATGGAGAGGTGGCAGAGAGTGAGAACAAGAGAGCGGTCACGCAAAACTCAAATCACACAGATTCACACACACACACACACACACACACACACACACATATATATATATATATATACGCACACACATAAGTAGAAAAAGATATTCATCAAGAATATGAGACGTATTCACCCTATTTCGTTTAAGGTGAGGAATGAGGTTTCCTACAATGACATTTCCATTCAATTTCACATTGTCTTGCTTTCCCAAAAGTCGTTCTCATCCTGACTAAAGTGGACTGCAGTTCCGACCTCGCATTGGTCTTATCAACACCCCCAGCGGGAGTCGAACCGTGACAGTTCAGTATGTCAGCTTGACACGTCAACCATTCGGCCACATTGTCACGAGTGTCGTTGTGTCACAGGGCAGATACGAATTTCAAGGAAGGCCAGGCCTTTTTTCATATCTCATTCTTTGGTGGGATTGTAGATGAAGCAAATGTATGTTTTCTATAACAACCGACTACTTTACTTATTTTTCATATCAGTAATATGAGATGTATTAACTCTATTTCGTTTAAGATGATGAAGGACTGGTAGTAGAATTTCCCACAATGATGTGAGTAGAGCTGACGTTTTCATAGAATTTCATATATTCAGCTCTCCTCATATGATTGTGGGAAAATTTTATTACCAGTCCTTCATCACCTTTAACGAAATTAGGTGAATACATCTCATATTACTGATTTACTGGTAGTCTCGAAACTCTTCTTGAATATGAAAGATATTTATCCGTTAGGCAAAATTTTAATTTTGTAACAACATTTGGTTGGAAGGACTTATTGAACTGGTCTTACTGGAAACCGAAAGAGGATTTCCGCGGACAAAAACTGATGGATTGCGCGAAGAAGTCCTCGGCTCACTGTCCTGTAACCCCGATAAACCTGTGGTAAGATTTCGTCTATACCATCCTGACAGACATCATCAGAGCAAGCACCCATACTAAACGACAGTTAATTAATATATTAAAACAAAGAGAAAACCTGGCCGGCTGCGAATCTAGTCAGTTCTTGTAGCAAATTTTGCGATCTTAATTAGGCATCTCATGTTTGGGTTGGCCACACCAAACTTACTCCACATGTTAGCAGATGAATTAAAGTAATTCATGAAACTAAATTGCTTCTGTGACAGCTGACTCCTTACATACATAAATAAACTTGCC